TCTTTTTGTAAATATATTTTATTCATTTTTTACAGAGAGGAAGGGAGAGAGATAGAGAGTTAGAAACATCAATGAGAGAGATACATCGATCAGCTGCCTCCTGCACATCTCCCACTGGGGATGTGCCCGCAACCCAGGTACATGCCCTTGACCGGAATTGACCCTGGGCCCTCTCAGTCCGCAGGCCGACGCTCTATCCACTGAGCCAAACTGGTTTCAGCCCATGTATTACTTTTTATAGTATATCTTCCCTCTAGCACTTCAGTAAAACATTAAAGGGTGGTGTTTGTTGTATTAAATTGTCAACTTTAAAAAATAATTGTAGCATTTTTCTATTTTGTCTTTAAAATCAAATTGTATCAAAGCTTAATTGGGTTAGAAGGATTGTGTAGTATCTTAAACATCTTTGTCCTTTTACAATTCAGATACGATTACTCTGTCAGGAGATGAAAGAGATCTGGGGAGATTGAACGTGAAGGTGTTTTATAATTCTTCAGCAGAGCAAATCTGGATCACAGTATTACAGGTACATTATTATAGTGCACACCAACTTACAAAATTGAATATTTAGACAGTATTAGCATATATTATTGCTCTCTTCTAGGGAATGGGTCATTACCTCTTTGGAATTTAGAGTTTCATAATATTTTGCAGAAAATAGTATATAATAAAGAATGTAAAGAAAATAAATTACTAGGTGTAGTGGAAGTATTTGATTTTTAATCTCAAAGAGATTGATGTGATATTGAGAACTTTAAATGTCAAATTATTTTAATGTAGATGAAACAGGAGGTTTCAGTAAGTTTACTTTTACAGTTTGTATCTAAAGTCATTAACTTGAAAAATACATAAAATAATTGTATTGTGTCCTTTGTAAAATTCAAGCTGTATTTTTAATTTTTTTAGTGCAAAGATCTAAGTTGGCCCTCTAGTTATGGCGACACTCCTGCTATCTCTATAAAAGGAGTCCTAACATTGCCCAAACCAGTGCATTTCAAATCTTCAGCCAAGGAAGGCTCCAATGTAAGTGGTTGTTGGTGTTTGAATTTCTTTTTATGTTTTTCTCATGTTTGTCACTTTAACTCATGTAAGGAATTGGAATTAAAAAAGTGTTTTATTTTAGGAAAACTACAAATTATGTACCCCCTGCTTTTTAATGACAATTTTGAGCCTTACTAGTAAAAGTACTTGATACTTCATTGTCCAAATATTAAGGTGCATTTAAAAAGAAAATTTTAGTCACTAAAATACATAGAAAATGAACAATATATAAGAAAACTCTTTATAGTTCTCTTATGAAAGGAAAATAAATGTCTAGTTTTTCATCCTCTCCCCCCATATGGCTTTGAGAAATAAGTGTATTATTGCAATTGATTTCTTTTAAATACTTTTCTTTATTATCCTGAATTTGGTTTTACAGGCTCTAGATTTCACATTAACTTATCTTCATCTTTGTCTTTTGATATGAGTTGAAAGGTTAGCGTTTTCCATGCAAATGAAAGGTATCTTCTACAAAAACACCATTTAAAAATAAGGTAATTCAGATGTCTGATAAACATGAAATTACATAATGCTTTCTCTTTATTTTCTGTCCTTTTTGTTTATTAAAAGTAGAAAAAATTTTACAAGTACTCTAGAACATAAAACTTTCTGAAAGTTATTTTATTGACAATACACATCAAAACCTTAAGTTATGTATACTTTTTAATATAGTTATTCTACTTGGAATCTTTTCCATAGAAATAATCTAATATATACGTAAAATACATATACAGGGTGGGGCAAAAGTAGGTTTACAGTTGTTCATATGGAAAAAGACACGTGGGCTACGATTATTACAATAGCTTTATTAACTCAAAAGCATGTCACAATGGCACAGTGCACTTGAGTACAATCTTGTAAGTGCTCAAATTGCCAACCTTCATTATTTACACACTAGAGGCCTGGTGCACAAAAATTCGTGCACTCAGGGGGGTCCTTCATCCCAGCCTGTGCCCTCTCACAGTCTGGGACCCCTTGGGGGATGTCCACCTGCTGGCTTAGGCCCACTCCCCAAGGGATCAGACCTAAGCTGGCAATCAGACATCCCTCTGGCAGCCTGGGAGTCCTCAGGGGATGTCCAGCTGACTACTTAGTCCCGCTCCCAGGGAGCGGGCCTAAGCTGCAATAGGATATCCTTAGCGCTGCCGAGGAGGCGGGAGAGGCTCCCACCACTGCCGCTGCACTCAAAGCTGTCAGCCCGGCTTGTGGCTGAGTGGGGCTCCTGCGAAATAAATAATAGAATAATCTAGAATAATAAAAGGGTAATATGCTAATTAGACTGGACTTCCTTTCAGACGAAGCCGGGGCCAGAGGGAAGCCCAGGTCCCGGGTACCTGCCAGTGGCCGGAGCAAAACCCAGGTCCCGGGTGCCAGAGGGAAGCTGGTGCCAGCAGTCGGGGGAAGGAAGGCCTACTCTTGCATGAATTTCGTGCATCGCGCCTCTAGTTAATAAATAATAGAATAAATTCTGTTTCATTTACTCACAACTGTAAACCTACTTTTGCCAATCCTGTGTGTGTGTGTGTGTGTGTGTGTGTGTGTGTGTGTAGTATCCATAGTGGAAAAGTTGGAAACAATCTAAATGTCTCATAAAGGGGAATGATTGAGAAAACTCATGGAATACCACATGTATTAGTTTCCTAGGGTTTTGGATTAGAACAACAGAAATTGACCTCTCACAGTTTTGGAGGAAGTCTGGTCTCAAGACTTCAGCAGCGTTGGTTCCTTTCCTGAGGGGAGATCTGTTCCATGCCTCTCCTAGTTCTGGGGATGGCCAGGCATTC